CTGAATTGCACAAAACGCATGATCGCACCGGCTAGTCTGGTGCGCGTTGCCATTTATTCTTTCTTTGAAACTAACAAAATCGGTTTGCGCTCTCAGTTTCGAAATGGAACAATCAGACCTAGTCGTTTTGAGATTTCTTACATATGGCATATTTCTGCTTTATTCTCAGAGCTGCTGCGTTGCAGACGATCTCTGCTGATTATCAGCGCTACGATCAGCCACTGATATTTCTTAAGATGCAACTTTAACAGTCGTTTCTGTCACCGCCCTGATCCTTCGTTGGATCTGATGAGTTCTATGAATCACGCCATTCACACAACAATGTTTTTTTTTCCTACGCTGTGTGTGTCGCTTGTCGTGACCGTGATCATTAAACGTCACTTGCAAAATGGGAAGAGACTGCTCAGTTGGATAGTTTACGATGAAACGACTCGCATACATCGTTTGAATGCTTACAGTTCAGGACATAAAGGGCGGGCAGTAGGGTTCTTCCCAGTAACATCGCAGGTTTTATGTAGATTTATCTTGCCCAGAATTTGCTCAAGACAGCACTTTCGTTATTGCCCAGAACTACTGTTTTGTTTGCAGAAAGCGAGGCAACGTAAACTGAAAGAAGCGGAAAAGGAGGAAATGGAAAGGCGTATAAAGGAACGTGAGATGCGCTCGTATGATGGCGTTTTCAATGAGGAAAAGATGCATTCGAATTATGATGATGGTAACGATTCCGATGATTTCATGTGATTGGTACTACTTTCTGTGACCTTATTTGAAAAGTGCATAAAAAATGGGTTATTTTCTCCATAGTCCCTTTTTTGAGTAGGGATTACGAAACGTTTTGGGAAGCTCCGATGGGTGGAAGAACGGTGCAGTATTTTTCAATCCGTTTTAATAAACGATGAAACGACGAAATAGCGCAGTCGACATTTTAACCGGAAAATCCGGAAAATTCGGCTTTTATGGAGATATTATATGAGCTTTACCCGCAGCAGACTTCTGCAGAGTTCACCGCGCAACGACTGCAGCGAAGTTGCTACGCTGTTGTCATATTGGGCAGTGGTAGAGCAGCATATGTTGTAACAGTTTTCATTATATTCCTTATTCATAAGTCACTAAAGTAACCTATCCCTTATCCCTTTTTATGCGTTTTTGCCGTGCAGCGCTAGAGCGCTGCAACAGGCAGCAAAAACGCATATTG